CGATCCTGCATTTTCCAAATCTTAAAAGCATCACTGTTATGCAAATCACTGGAAGACTCAGTTGAATCGATCAGGGTCGAAGGACAAGGGTTTGTACTATCTACAAACCCTATAATACCATGGCCTTCGAGAAGAAGCTCTATCTGAAAATGCCATGTGAGGTAATTGGAGTCATCAAGTTTCACAGAAACAGAGGAGGAAACTGATGAGATGAGAGAGGTAATAGGAGATTGAAGAATCTGCAATTGCGTAGCAGTCACCATGATCCAATATGAATCAAGAATTCGAAGAAGATGTCACTGAGGTAAAAGATCAAACACCTGGTATGCAATATTTCAAACACCGAGAACCAGAGAAGAAGAGGGAAATTAGAGCCCTAAAAAATCGAGAGATGGAAGACACAGAGCAGAAGCAAAATAACCAAGATCAATTAACCGTCAAGCACGAAGCTTTTCCGGCGAATGATACCACGTAAAGATAGCAACAGATACAAAGAAGGTGTATTCTTGCAGAAGAAGAAATAAGTATTCGAAGAGAGAGAAAGAAAATTTCAGACAGAGAAGATATTTTTTATTACTTGACTGTTTTTCTGATTAATTACAATGATAGTTATGTAGAGTATATATCTAACTAGATTGCTTACTTTCTAAGCTATTACAAGGATTACAGGATGACTACACTTGTCACTATTACAACCACACGATCACAAGCTGTTAAGCTTGCTTTATATACTATTATCAGATGCGACCACGGCTGTTTGACCTTGACACATGCTCGCAGGTTGTAGGGCGTTGATGACGATGAAGACACAACGACGGTGGTGCTAGAGCCATTGCAGCGTCTTGGATTTGATTGGAACTTCATGGGGTGGTTTAGACCACCCCGAAGAAATTCATGGGATTGACAGCAGCGGCGGGGAGCAGAGCTCTTGTGTGTTTTTGTTCTCTTCAAATTTAGGCAGAAAGAAAACATGTGGTTGTTCCCATTTTTGGACTGCTTCGTGTTGTTGTTGCAGGTATAAAAGAACGTAGGGTTGCTAGCATATAGATTCTTTGCTTACCAAAGTTTACTCAAGAAAACACCTACTTGCAAAACAAAATTTCTGGAAAGAAAATGAAGAGAAGAGAAACATAGGTTTTGTACCTTCTGGTGGTTGTTAGTTGTTCGTTCTCCTTCCTTGAAAGACTTGGTTCGGATTTCTCTCTCAATTTCTCTCCCAATTTCTGTAGAGTACCTCTTCTTTTTCTCAATTCCTCTTTCAATTTTTGCAGCATACCCCCTCTTGTTTTTTCTTCCCCCTTTTCTTTGGTTCGATGCCTTTTTATAGGCGAACAGTGGACATGACAGTTGAAGTTAGTGGGATGCTACTTTTCTGGGGTGTGGAGATGCTGAGACAAAACCACCACTTAAGTGGAGAACGTGGAAGCTTTTAAAGGGTTCTAGACACACAAGATCTCTATACCCGGTTGCCATGTAGATGACAAACTCCTTTAGACTTGGCATATGTTGAGGTCCACGTGTGCGGGATTTTTTTTCCTCTCTTTGTTTCTTATATATATAAATATAGTATATATAAGAATATATACACACACACACATAATGTGAGCCTTATTTCTAGTCAGTCCGCCATTTTGGACTCTATTATTATTATTATTATTTTTTGAAGTCTCCCTGTTTTTAATAAGACTTGCTAATATATTTTGTTTGTGAAAATATATGTCTCAACATAAAGCATTTAAAGTTGATCTCTTAGACTCTTACCACAGGGTCCTTGATTCTTTACGGTGGTGACGGCTCCATGAATCCTCCAGTCGATGCTAAGGGGAACATTAGGAGTCAGGACCGCCTAAGCCCTCGTACCTAAAAGATACATCTGCGGATGATGTATGTTCAGTGGGCTTTATGTATCCAGCATATTGTCAAACGAAATCATCGTAGCTCAAATCAGCAAATTCATTGAGTCCTAACTTGTATGTGTTATTTTCATCACGATTGAATTTCTCCACATACTCGACGTTGCTCTTGAATATGGTGAAACGCCTTTCCGATTACGGCATACCCTAGTGTTTACCAAATCTAGATGAATCAAAATTTAGTGGGTTCCACACAAATTTCGGAATCCAATTTCAATATTTGGCTGATTTGGATTCCCAACATAAATGAGGTATTTGGATACCGGATGGCTTGGGGCAATTAGAATGTTAATTTTTTTTCCTTTATACCCTCACTTATTTTCATTACTTCCAAGATTATCCTTTTAACCCTAGACTATTTCCTTTTCACATAGATCCTTTCTCTCTTCTCTCAGACGCATGCCTTTCTCTCCTTTGAGCCGCAGCTCTCGTCACAATTACGGACAGGTAAATCCCTACTTCTTCTGCGTTTTTATCTCTATATTGAATTTTTTGCTTTGAACAACACGGGTAAATGAGTTTCTGGACGAAGACTCTGACCTCTGATAGAAAATAAATGAAAGATTTTCCATTAATTGTGTTTCCTTGCATCCTGCTGAATCTTTCATTGCTTCCTTCACTTCACTTCACTTGTTAGAGAGAGAGAGAGAGGCTGAATTGATTCCTGCCGACTAGTTCTTCAATTTCAACTCCACCACCAAGCTGTTGCTGGAAACGAATCGAATTGCTCCACAAACAAAACTCAGTCTCAGATCAAACACAGAACCATACGCATACATACATTGATACAAATTCAATAACTAAATTAAAGGGCAAAAAAAAGACTAGCTTGCATACCCCCATGACTTCTGCTTGAGTAGCGATGAAAAACGGCTAGTGATTTGCTCTGGTTGTAGGGATTTGAGGTGGTGGGGTCTGAGTTGTAGGGATTTGAGGTGGTGGGGTCTGAATAATGAAGGTGGTGAGGAATGAGATGATGATGGATTGATGAGTCTTGATTTTTTCAGGTGGGGTTCGATGGAAGAGAGAGAGAGAGAGAGAGAGAGAGAGAGAGAGAGAGAGAGAGAGAGAGAGAGAGAGGAGGGCGTGGGATTGATAAGTTTTTTTACGAATTTCAATAAGTTGGAAACTTTGTTATTGGTTTTTGGATTTGTGAAGTGGGCCTGATTTGTTTTGATGTTTGAAATGTTGTATTGTTTAGGAAGAGTACTTTATCCCTAATTCTTTATGCTCACAAATGTTTATTAATTAAATATTCATCATCTTTATGAAATTAGGAAGAGTGAGGACAAGGTTGTGGGTTGAGCTTTCTTCACTGGTTGCAGGTGTTGGATATAAGTCAACAATCTGTGATAATTTATATATGCTAATAAATAATGAATGCAATAGGAATTAATAGAATATAAACTAGAATATGAATTGTAAAACAGACAACTTGAAGATCGAGGCTTGCGTATCGCAATGTCCTTGAAACAGAAATTTCGTCCCTACTCTATGCTTGTAGTTCTACGGACGTCTGCTTCACCAGGATTCAACGATCAAATTAAAATTCCAGCACCGGAAAATTTAACTTCTGGCGAATTTAGTGTGGTTCTCTCAGTAAGAAGGTTTAGGAATCTAGAAGATGAAGTTGATTATTTTCTGTATTCTAAATGCCATGCAGATGGATGTATATATAATGTGATTATACCTGTTCACAACAGGTATGAGGAAGGGATGCATCTGTTGGGAGACATTTGCTGAAAATTGTGTTTTTGTTTCTGCATTCTCACACTTCAGACTTCATCTGAAAAGATGAGTCTGTTGGTAAAAATAATTAATTAATTTAAATTTGAAATTAAAAATAATTAATTAATTTAATTATTAGAGCCCAAGAAGGCCCAAGGCCCATCTTTTGACAATTAAATATATATTAATTATATATTAATTATCAATTAATTAATACACCCCTAAACCCAACCCCACGGGTGAGCCCAATTTTAGTCTCCAGGCCTATTACTCCAATCACTTTCTATAAAGGACAAAGCCTTATAAAGTGATAAAATCTTTTGGGAATGGTCAATGTGGAACAAAGAAATTTCTACTCAAACTACTCAAAATTTCCAACAGCAGGTATACTATGATTTATGTTGTTATTTATCCGTTAATTGTGAGACTAGGTATGGAGGAAAAAAAATATAAATTTTTGTGATTGATTGTGTTCTGTAATGTTAATTTATTTCAGTTTGCTGATATGTTTGTTAACTTGTTAATTGAAGTCCTTCATGAAATTTTTTTTCTTCATTATTTTGTGTAGACTAATGGCTCATCTAAGTTTGTCCACAAAGAAGAAATTACAAGCTGCGTTGAATGTGTTGATTGTCTATCTTCGAACTATATTTGTTGCATGTGCTACTCTAGTCATTGGAAGTATTCCGTGAATCAGTAACTTCAAGAAACACTGAAATGTGGCATGGTGGCTGAGACTGCCCTGATACCACCAAAGATATGGAAAATTTTCATCAGTACACTCTCTGAAACACAAGCTCAATAGTTATTATGTTGTCTAACACATTTATAAAACTGTATCATTCCACCATATGGAATTTCATACTGTTCATGACATACACAATCCTAAGAACAAAATGAGCACGCCTAAGCATAGCTCAAGTAACATCAAGCATAGCTCAAGTACCATCGAGCACAAAGAGTAGGTTATAAACAATATACGCAAATCATGGTGGCTTACACTATCTTGGCTAGCATTAATACATATTTGATTTGGAACAAGGGTATTTTAGTAATCATATTGGTTTATATTCTGATTATGTTGAATTAGTAAACAACTTTATGAAATTCTATTTCGATTCCAGAACATTTAAGTAAACAGTTTCAACAGAAATCCGATTTTGACTTCTTCTCATTCCAACTCCTCCTCAATTCAATTCCTCATATTTTCATTACGGTGACGTAAACTTGTTTCTCTCACTTTCTCGATCCTCCTCCATCTATTCTCTGCTATTGCTTTTATTTCCAATTCAATCTCACTTCCTCCATTGTTGCAATCTCTCTCTCTCTCTCTCTCTCTCTCTCTCTCTCTCTCTCCTCTCTCTCTCTCTCTCTCTCCCCACCCAATCTCTTTTTCATTTTCAATTCGAATTCCACCAATTCACAAATAAATTGAATCATCGAATCCGATAAGCACGGGCAAGCGGCTCAGTGTCGAGGCTCTAGAGCTCAGTTTCTCCTCAAATAGTACGCTCTCTTCTCGTTTAGGTTTCTTGTTTAAAGTATTTGCATATTTCTGATTTTGTTCCTGATTTCAATTCACGGTTTTTTTTTTTTTTTTTTGTTATTGAATTTTTGCAATCGAATTAATGATGAAGGTGAAGACCACGGCAACCGGAAGCTGGAGCTGCTGGGCTTGGAGGGCAAGTGACAAACGAGGAGGTCAAGAGCTTGAACAAATGGTCAGAGCTATTTCTTCATGCTTTTTGCTTTTCAATTTGTTAGGTGCTTCATTTGGCACCTCCTTTTTAATATGAGGGATGAGTTTTTATTATCTAATTATCTCTTAAAATTTCTTTTAGTTACTTTTCTAGTACATATTCATCTTAAATAGTTTAACGCAATCATCCAATTCCCATATGGTTTGACCTCTTTTCATTGTTGACGTGGGATTCTATCTTTGTGAATGTTGATCTATCCCTAATGAGTTTTAACTCGATTAAATTATAATACTATATTTGATGTGTTCTGGATGGAATGAGTGGAGTTGGGGTTTGTGGTTTTCAAATTTCATTACAGGAAGTTGTATTTGAGAATAGCATTGCATTGTTCTTAGGAATTTTAATCTTGATTCTGAACAAACAAGCAAACAAAATCATCAAACGTTTTTACATTTTTAGGATTGTTGGCAAATTGCTTAGCTAAGCAGGTTGCATCAGCCTTTTCCTGAGCGACTCGTATTGCCTCACCTACATTTAGGTGCCTGATCATAGTTTTCTGAGACATCGGTTGACCTGTAATTGTAGACCTTTAATGCTTTTCGTGTTTGAACTATGTAACTAAAACCTTTCTTTTTCCCTTTTGTTGTGGTTTGGACTGGGGGATGGTGTCTGTCTAAGCATTTAAAAGGTAATTGATATCCAATGGTTGACAAGATAAGTGAAATTATTTTGGAGTTCAAATGGTAGGCTTGTGGATGAATGGTTGATACAATGGACAATTTAATACGTTTGATCCTTATCCTACCTTAACAAATATGTTCATTCTTATTAGTTCAAAGTATTCAACCCCTTCAGGCTTTGGTCTTGGACTAGGAGGAATTTTGATCACAAATCTATGTCACAGTGATAAGTTCGAAAAGTTATTTATCTTCTGGTTACTTGTTATTAGTTTTACATTGCCAACTCAGTATAGCTTAAACTCGAGAAAACATTAAGCAGGACAAGGGTCAAGAGCGTATAATCTTTCTTTGCACTACGATAATTTTCTGTGTCCTATAATATTTATAGTTTTATTAAGAAATTTTTGTAATGCATTTTGTGAAATGTTAAGACTCACCAAAATTGACAAGAAAGGTATGGTATCTTATCGCATTTCAGGATTTTTAACTGTAATATATGTTAACAGGAAGTATATTTACTTTAGAACAAACAATTGTGTTTCATTGGGTCAAGCCACTAGACATAGCATCTTAGTTTCGTCATGTTCTTTATACTTTCAATATTTGTCACTTGAGTGCTTGCTATAATCACCTTCCATTATGTGAAGACAAAAATCTTCTCTAGCTTGTGTCGCTTCTAGACAAGCATTTCTATTTGATATTGATTGAACATTGTGTGATTCAAGAAGTATGTCTCTCACACCCTCTCACTCACTCTCTCTCTCTCTCTCTCTGTCTCTCTCTCTCTCTCTCTCTCTCTCTCTCTCTCTCTCTCTCTCTCTCTCTAATCATACTTGAGGGCATTTTTCTTCGACTTACGCTTTGGTGTACCACACGTAGGTTTTAATGGTGGGCTTCCTATCATTGAGGAATTCTTCAGTGAGAATATACATTTTTGGTATATAATGCTTTGGTATTATTAGTTGTACATCTTTTGTGGATGGAAGGAAATTATCTTAAATTGTATAACTACAATCGTCCTTGACTAATAGGGAATTCTATTTCCTTACCAAGTTGTGGAATTATTTGATGTTAGATCTTGATGGTCACCATGTTTTTTAGCAATTATTTGGACGATGTTAAACAAAATATAACTTTTTATATGTAAATTTGATTTGTTTGCAGAGTTTCGTACTTTTGAATCTACTAATGCTAGTTTCAGCTCTTAAAAGTTGGAAAACTTTGTTCAATTTAAGAAATAGCACACTATTTTTGGAAGAAAACAAAAAAAAAACACTATTTTTTGAACTACAGCAAAATAATCTACACTATTTATGAAATTGAACAAAAATAACTTACACTATTTATGAAAATGAACAAAATAAACATTGTTTCTGAAACTACAACAAAATAACAAACATTATTCTTGAAACTAAACCAAAATAACCGATAATAGTTTTGGAATTATAGCAAAATTACCCGCATTATTTTTGGAAGGGAACAAAATAAACACTATTTCTGGAACTTAACAAAATAACTCACACTATTTATGAAACTAAGCCAAAATAATTCACACTATTTCTGAAACTAAACAAAAATAATTCATACTATTTATGAAACTGCACCAAAATAACCCACAATATTTATGAAACTGAACCAAAATAAATAACTCACACTATTTCTGGAACTACAGAAAAATTACACTATTTTTGAAATTGAACCAAAATATTCCACACTATTTTTGAAATTGGATCAAAATAACTCACACTTTTTTTTGGAATCTCACCAAAATAACTCACACTATTTCTGAAACTGAACCCAAAATAATCCACATTATTTTTGGAAGTGAACAAAAATATCCACACTATTTCTTGAAGTTAACAAAATAAACACTATTTGTAGAAATACAGCAAAATAATCCACACTATTGAAGAAATAGTTATGGTACCCGTGTTCAATTCTAGAAATAGTAATTGTTCAGTTTACGAAATAATGACAGTGCATTTGTTCGGTTATAGGAATAGTTAGTATTCATTTCCAAAAATAATGTAAATGGGAGGCTAAGGAACCTTGGAACTAGGGGTGGGTTCAAAAAACTGAAAACCGAACCGAACCGAAATAGAAAAAACCGAACCGAACGAAAAAACCGAACCGAACCAAACTCTTTTGGTTCGGTTCGGTTTTGGTGGTCTAGAAACCGAACCAAAATAATTAAATTAATATTTTTTTAATTTTATTTATTTAATTATTTGATTTTATTATATTAGAATATGATACTTCAGACTGCTGCTTTGGTAGGACTTGTTTGCTTTCCAATTCAAGTTGTCTTCTCAGCTTCTCCATCTACAACAAAAATTAGAACTTATACCATTACATGCAATATTTCTAGTTTATATCATTAAGTGCAACACATATATAAGAACACATATCTCAACTGCACTGCAGTTGATTAGGGAAAGCAAACATCGTATAAAAGTCTCATGAGTTTATTAAACACTACGAGATCAAAAACAAAATTCAAACTTTCTCACCTATGGCCAAGTATAGTAGCTTCCGTGGCCTAACAACTTTGAAAAGTATATCAATATATTAAAAATATTGATGAACACCTCTTCAAAATTTGCTGGTGGTAGAAGCTGAACACAGAGAAATTATATTATGTAACCACATATATGGATAAAAAAAATTCGGACCATAAAGATAAAGAAAATATAAAAAATTGTTACCTAGACAATAATCAAAATAAATAGTATATTATAGAATGTTTATCTTATTGCTAGTGAAGAATACATGTATATATATAGAGAGAGAGAGAGAGAGAGAGAGAGAGAGAGAGAGAGAGATTGAGAGAAAGAGAGGAATGAATAAGGTCGTACTCCATCATCATCGTCTAAAAAGAAATTTATTTACAGTTAAACTTTAAACCTAAAATATTAAAAAAAAACCTTTATGTTATAATTCTAGTTGAACTTTAAATGTTTATTTTCATTATCTTTAAGTCTAGTCAGAATATTTATGTTATGATTGTGTTGGATATGTTAAAATTTAAGATTTCAAAATTTTTCATTTTTTGAAAAAAAACTGAAACCGAACCGGAAAAAACCAAACCAAAAAAAAACCGAACCGAAAAAAATTGAACCGAACCAAAATTTCGGTTAGGTTTTGGTTTTGGCAAAAAACCGAACCGATTTGAACCGAACCCACCCCTACTTGGAACCATATAAAGAGATTTGTGGAGTTGACCATGACACATAAGGAAGAAGTGAAAGCTTTTGTCACATCTGTCATTGGAAGTTGTAGATCTTAAATGGTAAATTTATTCTTTGTATGAGCATAACATAGACTCCATAAACAAGGCCTCACTGCAAGGCTAGAGGGAAAATTATTTGAGTAAGCGATACGATATCTTGAGTTGGTGGTCTGTCATTTCTTACATTTAGTAGTTATGCATGTAATTGTTAACTGTAAATGATTTATATTATAGACTAGCTTTGGTTTAAATTTTAAAAACGGAAAGCATTGCTCCAATAGTTTTGAAGTGATGTAACACTTTTGGATAAAAGTACGGTGTATGTAAAAGTTTTCAAATTGTCGAATAAGAAATGGTTGCTTGCAACCATAATAATTTTTTGTGTTAGAAATGGTTGGAATTGATCTAGTGGTTGCAAATTGCAGCCTGCACTTCATAGTTGTTTTGCATAAAATTTGTGTTGATGTCATTTACTTTGCTATCCGTTTTTGCTATGGTTGAGTTTGTAAAGGTGTCTTTGGAAGACATCACTGAAATTAGCCATTTGAATACGTTTAAGCTATTGAGTTATTACGAAATATTTTTTTTGGTTGGGTCAAAGGTGAATAAATATTTGGAAGAAACAACATAGCAATTTTTATTCCTAAAGAATGTTAAACACGACCTGTAAATAAAAAAAGTTAATTACAAAACTATGGCAGTTAGGGTCTAGTGAATGGTTATTTTGTTCTAGTTATTTTCAAGAACAAAAGTGGGTTGCCTGCTTTGGAGCAAATATTAACATAATATTATCAAATTGGGAATAAAAAAAGTGTCATGATATGGGTGGTTGCAACGTTTGTTTTATAAAAAAAATAGAAAATTAAACTAATTTTGATTTTATTTGACTTTTTAAGCTGGGTGGTAATTTTGTAAATAAAATGAAGTTGTTTTAACTAATTTTGGTTAACTTTTGTTACGGGCAAAGTTGGAAGAAAGATTTGATGCTGCATTTTGGGCTTTGTTTCAGCCCGTGAGACTTTTTTTCTGGGCCTGTTGAATGATGATTGCTGGACTAGTACCATTAATCTCACTCTACAAAAACATGTTTTTTGGAAGAAAGATTTGAGATTTGATGGTCATTGCTGGACTAGTACCATTCATCTCAATCTACAAAAACATGTCTCCAATCACATATTTTGACACGCTCCGATCCGATATTTCCAAATATCAGGGTAAGCATGATGCAGGA